TCTATGATTCTATGCCAAGCAGTCTACAAATCAGGATGAACATTTTGAGAAGATGGGTGGGCACAGACCAGAAGGGAGGAGAGCAGCACAGGGCAGCCCTGTATGGCATAGCTCTGTACTGCCACTAGCAGCACTCATCCCACTGCCAGCCTGGCTTCTTCCCACCACCAGTACTTCCATTAGCCAGATGCATCAGAATACCATGTGCTGTGACACTTGAGTCAGTGCATCAGAGGCCAAGGACCCCTCTCAGGGATGTAGCAGAGCTTAACAGGGCTTGCACTGAAGGAATTGCCAGTGAAACATGGCTGTGAGCCACAGGCGTAGATGCAAAAAAGAAAAATCTGGACCTGGATTTCAATGCTTTGGAGCATGGGGATTTGAATACAGATGTTGGCTTGGTTTACTAGAAGGGTGCGAGCTTTTGCAGAAATTGGGCCTGGACAGGACTGGGAATGCCTGGGAGTTTTGCCTAGGCAGTTGTTTGAGTGCATCTCTTGTGTGCAACTTACTTGGGATAAAGAAACTGCTTGAAAGCAATTTCATATTTAGATATCCACCCTCCTTCCTCAGGTCAGAAATCTCTGTATTAATGCACTAGGCTGTGCCCTGGCAGCTGCTAGTTACTGTGCAACAGGAAAAATACACTTGGACTTAAAACTCCAAGGAAAGGAAAGCCTTGGGACAGCAGCTGATGGGAGGGTATTTACCTTTCAAGGATTTAAGTTTCTCTGCTAGGCTTTCTAACTGCCAACAGAGGAGTATCCTAGAAAGCAATTTGGAAACGAAGCAAAGCAAGGTTCTAGACACATCAATTCCTTTACTTCCTACTAAGTACTTTCAGATACTAGCTAATTCACTGTTACCACCTCCCCGTGAGATGGGAAGCAGTCTTATTCTCCAACTATACAGGCATAGGAAGTCCAGCAACTTGCCCAGGGTTAAATATAATCAGTCACAACCCAGGGAACCATGTTTATCTCTAGTGCGATTACAGAGCCATATAACCCTTTGAGAGGGCTGCTAGGCAAGTAGCATGAGTTCACCTGCGACAATGTTTGGCCTGGGCACGCATTGCCGAAGATGCTGCAGGAAGCTATACTGATTCTGAAGCATGCACACACAATTCTATTCCCTCCCCTGCTGCCGTACCAGGGTCCCAGCCAGCTGACTGAAAGCAGCATCTTTCAGTACCTTACCCCCACCCCAGAAGGGGTGTGGAAAACCAATCCAGGGGAAAGGAAACAAAAAACAACAACAACAACAAAAATCTTGGCTGATTTCCCAGGAGCAGCAGTGTCAAACCTGGCTGGCCTCCAGCACAAGTAAATACATCTTACCAACCTTAATGCTGCTGTTCAGCTCTCTAAAGTTCTTCACACCTCCTTTCAGAGCCTCCATGCAGCATTGTAACCAAACCCCTGTAGCACGCTCCCTCCAGCGCCAGGCAGGAGCCCATCTTCCCTGCTTTGCTCTGGGCCTCTGGTATTGTTGTACAAAGCACTTACAGCCCAAATCTTTAGCCAGAATTAGCTGACACAACTCTGTTAGGGGCCCTGGTAATGAACTAATTTATAGCAGCTGAGGGTCTGGCTCACTTTTCTTTTTTTCGTAATTGCACAGATGAGCTTTAATTGCACCATTCTGGTGTTTGTTGGCAATGTGCTTGAAAGAGCTGAGCAGTTTTGTATGCCTCTTTCAAGATCTGTAGCAGAAACAATCTGCTTGTTGGAAGCCCTGTGGTTTAGTTTCCATAACCCAGTTTACAGAGAGGAAGAAGAGACTATTCCCTCAGTGAGGTGCAGCAAGAAAAACTTGAGTTTCAGGTCACTGCCTTAATCATGGGAGATCTCTGCTGTAGCACGGATGACCTCATTGACCATGGGAAAGCAGCATTGAATGAATAAGAATGAGGTGCCTAAGTATGTTGCAAAATCCTGCCATCCTTTGCATCCATTCTGAACTTGTGGTAGGGGGGGGTGATAACGTTTTACATCATTGCAAGGGGTTGGGAGGATAAATCAGAAATGCTCAAACACTGTGGTTACTGGGACCTGCCAAAGCTGAGACCAATGGTTTGCAGCCTAGAACAGAAAAACAAGAAATTATTGTGAAACCATTTGATGTTGCTAGTGACCACAGGATGGGGAGAGCAAAGGACCATGTTGTCCACAGCACAGACCTTTCTCAGCACTGGAGTTGTTGGCATCGAGGGGACCCTCACGCAGGGGGTCAGAGATTTCATCTCCTTTTTTATTTTTTTCTACCCTAGCCAAACTTTCTGGTACACATTGTAGCTTTTGTAGTCATAAAAAATACGAATTAAAGCATCTGACATCTCCTTCTGTAAGCAGCAAGACCTCATTTTAATACTCTGCTTCCTGATTTCAGACGAAGAAATATTTGTGTAGGCCAGGGTGAAACCGGTTAAGCAAGAAAAAAAGAGGCAGATTGAAAGACAGTGAGAGAATCTCCAATCAAAGGAAAACATGGCATGATTAGTAAGTGAAGGCAATCAGAGTCTGTGGGGAGGGACTACCATTGCATATAGTAATTCCTGGTACGAGTGACAGCTGTATGCTTTGTTCTTAAAAAGAAAGCGCAGCAACGCAACTGCTCTCCTCCTGACTCTCAGTGGTTTTGTTGTGCCATCTGGGGCGGTGATGCCATCAGAAGAGCCTGTTAGCCTTCTGTTTTTCATGCAGATAAAACACTTTGCCTCTCGCTGCCAAGAGGTGTTTGCAGCTGAGCAGGTAGATCCTCTTCACCCCAAATCAGAAATGACTCAGCTCCGCCTCCTCCTTCCACGACCTGGCGCTGAGCTCCCTTTTACAGGTGGCGTTTTGTTGCGCGTGAAGCTGCAAACCGGGCTCCTTATTCCGTGTCCTCAGTTCAGGGTCCATCACGCTCATCCCAAGAGTAGAAGGGCTGTTACCCAGCCCAGCCCAGGCAGCTCCTGATGAGCTTTCCTGTGGCGTTTCCGTGGGCAATGTCTTTCCTTGTCCCCCACCACAGCAATGTACTGGTGTTGCACTGCTGACGGTCTGGCACTGACTGTCCCAAATGTGGCTCTTTACACTGGAGAGGTGGCTGTGAATCCTGCCAAGGGAGGCAGTTGCAATTCTGTATATGATAAACAAGATCATCTATAAGAGGCTGTAAATGCTATGTGCCCATCCCATTAGATGGGATTATTTATCACTGACAGCCCTTTTGAAAATCCAGTGTAAAATATTAAATCTATGGCTGCCTATGGACAGTAAAGGGCATGTTTCAGTGCTGTCCCAAGAAATTATCAAGATCAAATAGAAGGAATTTAAATAAAATAGAAAATTATTCATGTAATAGCTAGCTTGGCCTTAATGAGTAGACGTCTCCCTTGTCTGACACTGAGGAAAGCAAGCTGGCGGAGGGAAGGCTAGAAAATAGGTTATTTCTGAAACGGGGAGTTTTCTGGGTTACCAAGAAGGAGGGCTGCACAGTAGAGCTCTCCCCACTCCACTGCTAGTGAGGGGTCCCAGGCTTCTCTGCCTGCGTAGGGATAGTTACGTTACCAGGAGTAAGTTTGTGCAGCAGCTGCTGGTTTGATGTCAGGCGAAAAGGAAGGAAGTAAGAGAGGGGAATGAAAGGAAATGAAGTAGGAAGTAAGATATCCTGAAAAGTGTATGCATTGTAGCCCTCTGAGGTGCTCTGGGTCAGGCACTAATAAGGGAAAAGATAGCAAAGAAACTGAATTTTTGTACTGCAGCAATTCCTGGTCCCAAATCCATGAGCAGATGGATTTGGAGCTAAGATTTGCAGTTTGCTAAAGGATGGATGCAAAGCTTTCACACTGGCTCTCATCCCAGTGTGAACCAGAAGTCTGCACTGTGAAATACCAGATTCAGAAGTACAGTAAGAAAACCTGGGGGCAGATCTACAACTCCTGTAGATCAACCTTTCATCCAGAGACTGTTTTACCACGTTACCGTGGTACCAGGTACCACTGCCTCCATATCCTTTCTCTTCACCAAAAAGGTAAGAGTTCATTTAAAGAAATGACTTCATAGCTAAAACCATACAGGGAGTGAAAAAGATCTACAGTGCCTCATTTGCTTTTCCTATCAGTACTTGCTTTTCGTCACCTGTATGTGTGCGGAGAATACTGCAGAGAATACCAAACAGATTGCAAATTGCTTGTTGCAACCCCAAATTCACTTGTCTGCAGAAAGACGGATTTCATTTTACCCTTTTTTCTGCTGGTTCAGAATACGTTTAATCAGAGGAAATATTTTAGCCTTAATTTAATGTCTGTTGTGCTGAAAGAACATGTACTTCTCTGCGTCTGTATGCAGGTAATCACTAAAAAGTTATCTGGCTACATGTGTTGTTTTCTACCTACCTACTAAATCAGAACTCTGTGTGCATTTATGACTCTCCCTGAAGGACTCTGGGTCTATGAAACACAACACTTCTGTTGTAGCAAAGCCTACAAGAAAGCTTCATATAGCTCAAGAAAAGCAAATTAGGGCTGCCCCCCTCTACCACCTTACTATAGACAGTTTTACATTTCACATCCCGCAGGGGATGCACTACACACTGAGTTTTGTAGCCTCTCGTGACCTTCTACTTGTTCTCTTTTAAGCAGGTAAGAAGAGCCCACCTGCTGAGGACAAAGTTGTGCTAACACATATGAAGATACTGAGCAATGAAGGAATTCAAAATCCGGGTTTAATCCCAGAGGCTCCAGCTAACACAGCCTGCACAGAAGAGTCCCATCTCCCCAGCGCCAGCCTCCCACCGGACTGCCAGGGAAATCCGAACGCAGCAGCCGCACCGGCAGATCCAGACTACGCAGATGCCCCGGCAAGCACAGACTATGTAGCCACGCTGCCTGACCTCAGCGCCTTCGAGGCCAAGTGCCGACTTCACAGATTCTCCAAATTTGAATCTGAGGACTCGGGGGTTGAATTGCCAAGCGGGGCTAATTCTCCATCAACGCCGACGGGTTCAGAGAAGAGCTTTGTGCTTCACAGCAGAGACTCATTTTGTGACTCAGGCGTGCTTAGCACCTCTTCTTCTCCAGAAATTGACCACCTGATAATGAGAACATGTCAAGAGCGTGCCAGAAAAGTCAGCCACCAAGATCCAGAGAGCGAAAAGCAAGCTGAGTACTACAGCCAGGAGGCAGATGCTGTGCAGGGTCCTACAGCTTCCCTCGAAGACTTAAGTGTCCCTCAGGAAGAAAGTCCCAATGAACATTTTGACCAGAGTGAAAGGCAATCTCTGGAAAAGGAACCTACCCCAGAGACGGACCTTCCCAGGGAAAGCACTCTTCCCACCCCAGGTCCCATAGAAGAGCCAAAGACAATTGCTGACAATTTCCCAGAGAACTTTGGCAGCGTGCAAGACCTTCAGATCCATGGACATCAGCTGAAGAAGTACCCCACAAGCGACAGTCTGGATGAATACATGGATGAATGCTGTAGACTGAGTGAGGTAAGAAACACCTAAACTGAATCTTAGAGCTAGGCCTGTCCAAATACCTCGGTCAGGGTTCAATCCTATTGTTTCTCACGAACTAGGACACATCTGAGTTAGAAAATCTCCCCTGAAGCTGTTGTAAGCAGCAAATCATGGTAATCGATTTTTAAGAGCTCTTTTCATAACAGTGAAATTCTGAAGTAATTCACATATATCAGTTCTGGGTAAGGATGACTAATGGCTCATGGAGATCTGATGTTTCAAAAAGCCCTAGATTAGAGGATGGACTTGATTCTGGTCTTAAAATGAAGATTGTGAAGTTAGTCATTGACCTCTGATACATGGGACAGGGATGAGAACATAGTTTCTTTTTCAAGATCAGGTTATTCCTGTTCCTGGGAACAGCTGGACTGCTGTTGGGGCACCAAAACTTGGAAAGAACTTGTGTAAGGGGTAGTTCATTCCTGTCCAGGCCTGTCCTGCCCTCTTGAGCCAGCTCTCTCAAATAACGAGTGAGCAGGGAGCTAATGCACAAATTCAAATCTTTGCTGGGCTGAAGATGGAGATCCCATTTTAACTCACCAGCACAGCTGTGATGGACTAAACTGCAAAGACATAATTTCAGCAGCTTGTCCCACTCCAGATCCCTCTTTTCCCTTGCTGGGTACACTGTGCCACTGACAGGAGAATAAAAAGCCCTTCTGTGTGCCTTCTCCCATAGTGGATGCTGGCAAGCACTCACCCCAGTGCTTTGCCTGAAGCCCCATGCTGCCGACACGCAGACAGATCGCTGCCTTGCCTGCCCGTTGCAGTGGCTTCCACGAACCAGTAAAGGAAAGATCTAACTGGGGAGCTGATTCTTGACAGAGACAGACCAAAGAGCCCCATGAGCAAAGGGAAAGGAGAAGGGCAGACTAGGTGAAGAGGGTCACACAGACACACCAAAAACATCAAACTGCGTAACGGGGATTTCTTTTTGGGGTGTTCATTGCAGTAATAGCGATGAATTGGAATGGGAGATGGGTGGGAGGAAGCCAAGTGACAAGAGCTGTGTGCTGTGCATATAATTTCACCATGGCCTCTCTGCCTGGGCCCTGAACCATCAGGCGATGGCCTTCCTCTCCAGCATGCCAAACCCTCCGGAGCAGCGAGGAAGGTCAGAGATGGCCCATCTCTGTTAACATTGCATAAAGGCAGTACAAGCAACAGACGATCGAGCTGAGCAGCCTCTTCCTCCCCAGAGCTGTCTCACCCACGGCAGAAGACAGATGTCTATTTTGCACAGTTCCCAAACAGTCAACGACCTGGCCTTTTAGCAGAGAGTTCAAAAAAGATCAGGGCAGGAGAGTTTGACCATAAGGAGACTTTATAAAAAGTTACCTAAATGTCACACTCTGGAGGGTTTGCAGCCAGCTTGGTCTTGTCTGACAGCTCTGGCTGCCCGTGAAATTCCTTTAAATCCTTTGTGAAATGGAGCTGCAGTTTCCCAAAGCAGAGCATTTAAATAAACAAGAGAATAAATTAGAAAGAAGCTGAAGAGGAAATGAAGCTCTTGGTGGCTTATCTCCCCTCCTTTTTAATATCCTCACTGGCTAAGTGCTAAAGCTCTGTGCCCCAGAGCACTTTTCTTTGTTTGTTTTTTGAGCTGTATAAATACAGCTGTGACCTAGATGCTGGGGAAGTTTCCCCCTCTTCACCGAGCACCTCCAGGCTGCTGTATCTCAAGAGCAGCACTCTTCAAACTGCTGGGATGCCAGGTAGCACCCAAGCTGACTGGGGCAAGAAAGGCCACGGCTGCTGCACAGCCCTGCAGCTGCGGCGTGTGCCTCAAAGCACAGGGACAGCCTCCTGCAGCTGCAGAGCTTTCTACCCTTGCCAAACCTGCTGAAGGTTAACCTGTCCTCACTGTCTTACAGCAGAGGTAGGACAGAGCGAGACCCCCTCAGAAACGATGTCCAGATGATCATCTGCCCATACAGCTGACGGATGCATCTTGGTTCACCCCAGCTGAGACTCTGCTCCAGGCTTATCTGTGGTTTTCACATTTGCCTGTAACCTGTCCAAAATACAACACGGTACTTAGGAGCCAATCTCTTGTCTGGCCTGATGTTGTCTCAGGGACTCAGTTACCCCTGGAAATGCAACCAATGTTGTCTGAAAGATAGCAGGTCAGTACAGGGTATTCCCACTCTGTTTGGCAAAGAACATGGCAAACCAAATTGTTCTTGCATTAAATTCATGTTGATATAAGCGAGTATAAGCACTCTTGCATCTCTATTTAATGCCAGGTGAGAGCATTATTTAATTATAGGTGACAGCAACTTCCTCAGTTCTATTGCTGGTTTTGGGAATATAACTTTCAAGCAACAGGAGAGCAGTTGAGATTCCCCAGCCCAGCTGGCTGTGGCAGTGCCAACGGCACCGGCACACCACAGCCGAGCAAGGATTCATTCGCTGGATGAGGATGTGCCTTGAAGTCCCCCTGGCCTCCCTCACTGCTGAGGCCACTTCCAAGAGAACAGGAAGGAAAATGCTGAAAAAGAGAGACTGGAAATGACCAAATGTTTTGACCGTTTGGATTCATTTGGTGAATGGCGTTGGCTGAAAATATACATCAAATCATTTCAGGCTGGCATTTCTTAAACAAAGCTTTCTGATCTTTTGTTTTGAGCTGTCGTTATTTTGAAATTTGCCTGCATTTAGAAAGATGAAAGAAAGTGGAAGCTGTCAAACAACAAGTGAAATAACTTTGAAGCCTAAATAAAAGCATTTCCTTTTAAGCCAAATTAAATGTTTGGGGTCAGTTTGAAGATACATAGCTTTTGATGCTTTTGCTTTGCAAACAATTCCTCATGCTCCATAAAGTTTACATTTAAAGTCAGCCCATACCCCTAGAAGGAGAGAGGGTGGAAGCATTGTTGTCATTAAATGAAAAAAAAAAAAAACCAACATTATTCACACAGTGCTAATTATCCTGGGCCAAAGCAGTCAAAATACTTCTCTGTAGAGAGGGGTACGGTTCAGGGGAAGGATAGGGCTACCTGTGATGGTCAGCCCCGTAGCCTGTGCGTGCCGCTCGGCGGAAACCAGAAGCTATCAGCAAGCGCAGCCCCTCCTGGACAGCAGGGTGGAGCCGTCAGAAATATACAGCACGATCCCTCTCTTTCCTGTTATTCACAAGCCTTTTGGTGTTGTCAGCTTCCAGTGACAAATGCTTCCCGCTCAGCCCGTGGCGTCACTAATCAGTTGCTCCAAGCCCACGATGGGAGGTTTATAATTACGTTCCCTGGCTGTCAGTGCAGTGACCGTACTGCCTCCGTACTGGCCATGCTAACGCGGCGGGAGTGGGCAGTGAGGGATTTATGGGAAGATAGAGCATGATATAACTTAAAACTATCCACAAGAGAAAGTGAAGAGCATTGCATGAAGCGCAGAAACCTAAGACACTGCAAGAAACATCAGCGAGCTCTTGTCCAAATGAGGAAGAGCTGCTCCTGCAAGCTAGTCCTGCCCGTCAGCTTTGGCTCCTGCTGCCAGATCCAGCCCAGGACAGTTTTCCATTAAGCCCCATTGAAGAAAAGCCTATTGCACGCATCAAAGTAACAGATAATGGCTGAAATGAGGCAAAGTGCTGATTAGATGATCAGAAATGCAGATTTTGATTATACCTCAATTGGACAAGAGGCTTGAAACCAACCGTCTGTCTTGCAGCTCCCACTGAACTTCAAACCTTTGTAGTGCTCAGCTGCTGCAGTGAGCACGATGTTACACATACACCGGAACAGAGGGACGGGCTCCCACCTCTGCGACTCTGGTGGCTTCAGAGGAAAAATGTGATTTCACACCAGTCAAAATACTGACTGGAGGGCTCTGGATAAGCCAAAGTTCCCAGTGCAGATGCTGATCCTGTATTTTTAAGCTTCCTAAGAAATCTGTGGGCCAGCACAACTGTGATGGTTTATTACCAGCTGAGCAGGGGCACACGTACTGAAAACCTGTCCCCAAAACTTAGTCAGGTGATCGCTCACGAGGGCAGAGATGTCTTCTTAGTTACATGGCTGTAAAGTCAGTGTAGCGCACCTTAACTCTGCAGAGTCAAAACCGTAATGGGAGTAACTCAGCATAGCATAGCTGAGAGCTTTGGATTCCTTTTCTTCCAGCTGAAAGTCTGGCTCAGTCTGATGTACCTGAAAGCAAAATCTGTCACCTATTTGTACATTATGTTGTTACTTTCATAGTGCAACTTTAACCATCTGATTCATAAATTGGGTCTGTCTGATCCTCTGCACCTTCACCTTCAAAAAAGTAGGTGGGATTTTTTCCTTCTTCATAGGTTTCATCAACCCAAAAATGGGCACATGGCTTTTGTTCCAATACTATTTGACAATCCTCATGCAAGGAATGGGAAAAATTTCAGTCCCATTAGCTGAATGTTTTGGGAAGCTTCAACCGGGAGGACAGAGACTGGAAGAGACTCATCCTGGAAAATGTTTGCAGTTTTCCTATGGTTGCTCACCCTCCACTATGAGCATAAAACTCTCTCACAGGTGCTGAGAGGAAAATATTTAAACCAGAATGTGACAGAGCAGGTTCTATGCTGCACTTGGCATGACCAGAAGATAGCGAGGGTTGTTTAGGTATTTCCAGTCTATGGAAAAGAAAGTCCTGGAAGGGTCCCTAGAGAGGCCCTCTCTGAGTAATCGTTTTGGGGGCAACCAGCTAAATTACACCAATTTTCTGTATTGAACACCTGCCATATCTGAGCAATCCTGATGCTAACGGGCCTCGTGGCAGGGCAAGCAAGGTGAAGCTTCCCCCTTACAAGCTTTTACCCTCGCATGCTGACCACAGAGGTGGCTGGCCCTGCAGGGATGGGCAGGCACTGCAGGCTCTGTCTGATTTGCCTTTTGCTCGTTTGCACTTGTTGGGATCATTTCAATAAAATGCAAATTAATTTCCTATTAAATAGCCCAAAGTGCATGCCCTGAGCAGCCTCTGAAGGATGGCTGTGAAACAGGGGCCTCCAGCACATTGAGTCCAACCTTCAGTCTGGTTTAGCTCCTCTACAGGGGTAAATCCACCTTGCCCCAAGACCTGGAGCAACTGCTCCACGCCTTTTCCCTCTCATTTTCTGGGGACCTGTACTTATTCTCAGGAGTTGGAAGTTCTCTCTAACTTTTGCTGAAAACCAGATTTTCTCCATGCCTGCCCAAACCACACCATTGCCTTCAAGAGCCTTCAGCCCTAGGCACAGAGCACTGGAAATCAGGGCCACCTTCTTTTCTCCTCCCTTGGCCTTTTTGCCCCATAAACGTAGCAGCCGCAAACACGAAGCAGGACCTTACAGTATTAAGCATTGGACAAATACGGAACAAAAAGAGGGTCCCTGCCTGAAAGAGGAGACAGTCAAACGCTTCATATGCTCTTTCCCCAGTCCTGAGGTTACAGCCGAATGTTTTACTTTATCCTCTTTTCCAAGAGCTCCTCTGTCCCTTGTAGTCGTCCCTTGTGTTTCTACAGCTATAACAGGGGTTGGATTTGGCTCACTGTCTCCACAGGGCAATACAGACATGCCATCAGTCACTGCAACAGCAAACTGGCAGAAAGGGGAGTTGTTAAATGTGCAAAAAGATGGTACAGAGTGACAGAAAGCCTACGTTTTCAGGGAGAATGAGGAACTTTTGACTACCTATTTCAGGACAGAAAAACCCAGATTTTCAGAAGCTAATGCTCGTGTACTTTCTGAAAATAATGCTTCTGAAGCTGGGCACCCCAAAATCCCTAGCTGCTTTCAGATATGTTGGTTATAATGCGTTTGATTCAAGCTTTTCCCAGCAGGCACCATGTGGGCTTTGTTCTCCCTGTGGGTCCTGGGGCTGCACCCCTTCCCACTGCACAGACAAGCTGAAGACTCAGTTTTATGGCTGAGTAACCTTTGTCTTGCCACCACTTCTGCAGGCTCTGCTCGAAAGGAAAATAAAAATCCTGAATGTGAATGACTGGTTGGCTTGGAGTCATCACAGTTTTTCATATGATTTCATGTGACCTCTGTCCCAACCTCAGACACAAAAGCATCTGGACATAATAATACCTGTTTATAAATAACATTGTATCATCATTTGTTTAAAAAGAAGTAAATTCTAAATGTTGATTATTTTTGAACACACCATGAGCTTTCTGACATAATGAAAAGACAGGAAGAGTCCCAAGGCTGGCACTTCCCCAAAAATGTAGATTGTTGTGGGAAAGGAGACAGAGTAAGCTTCCTGCTTTTGTAGAGAGAACTTATTTTTTGAAGTAAGATAAACTTAGAGCACTGCTTTTGTAAAGATCGAGGCTTATTTTACTTACTGATATCACACACACATCAGCAGGCAGCGCCAAGGTGGAAGTCAGCCTCTGCATGTATTTGTCAGCAGCACGTTCGGCAGAGTCCACTCGTGACACAGGAGAGGACACTTGCAGTGCACAGGGAAGTCCTGGGGCCCGAAACAGCGAGGTGCGGAGCCGGAGGCTGGGAAGCACCGTTGCCTTTCCTCTGCCACAGGATTACCGTCTGTCTCCGGCACTGCCCTTGGCTGAGCAGCAGTGAGACTCTGCAGGTCCTGGGTGTGGAGAGATCAGTGGTACAGAATATCCTGCCGTAGCCAGACAGCAAGCTTGATCCTGCAGACTTTCTTCAGGCATCTCTTAATGACTGAGAAAGTAGCAGCAGGGACGTAAGCTGGGATCTGCTAAAGACCAGTGGAAAGATCTTCTTTCACTTTGGCAGCTTGGTTCAGGCACATGTCCCTTTCACTGACCCACCAGCAATGAGGGTCTGAGTTCGGCTGTACTACCATGGTTGCAGATTGCCAAAGGCAGACAAAATGTACCCCCAAGTTGGTCACAAAGCAGCAAATCACTGCAATGTGCAGATATGTGCCTTTGGGTAGGAGCCAAGCTCAGCCTCAGTACCCATAAGTGTGACTTGCACTGAGGGCTATGGGCTAAGTGAGCTATACTAACACCAGCCATCTATACCACACAGTAGAACTATATTTGTTTGTAAGGGTCCTGTGGCCACTAAAAGACAAAAATTAGCCTGGAAGGTGGAACTAGAAACAGGCTGTCACGAGGTTGTCCTCTGCGTCAACCTGTGATCAGTCAGAAGAGTCCCTCTGATGGAGCATCTTGCTGAGTAATCCAAAAAAGAGCTGTAAGCAAGCAATGCTGTAGCCCAGATCTGGCTATAACCAAAGCCCCTTGCAAGAGGAAGCCTGAATATCTTTACCACGGCCCACACAACTGTAAGGAGAGTGCTGGGTTCCCAACTGCTAGTGAGAATTGCTCTGCTGTTACTCCATGGTCCAAGATGTATTGTCATTGCAGGTGAACCAAGGTAACAGCAAAGCCCTGGGATCTGGTCTGGGATACCTGGAACACATTTGCCAACTGATTGAGAAGATTGGGCAGCTGCAGGAGCACAACCTGCGTCTCCAAAAGCAAGTGTGCAGCTTGCAGAAAGAGCAGAAGATGAGCCAGATAAGAGAGGTAAGCAGACACCATAATATCTTCCATTAAGTGATATACTCAAGGCCCAGATGGAAAGTTCCAAGTGTGTGAGGGAAGATGCTAATTTACTTGACCTACAGCCACCTGTGCTGGGTGCTTTGGCCTTCAGGGAGGCCTCACCCACCACAGTGGGCTCAGCTTCCCTTAGAGCGGGCTTGGGTTTCTGTTCTTGTTGAATTTTTTTTCCCAGATGTGCTTGCTTCTGTTGAGTTAAAAAGCGTCCCTCTCACCTCATGTGATGGCCAGCTCGAAGTCAGTAGCTTTTACTTCTCTACAGTTGAAAACTTCCCAAGAACACATCTCCCCCCATCAGTGCTATCAAAACAAAACATTTCCATGGACCTCCTTAGCAATTGTGTTTTGAATTAAAAGCTCTTTCTTTTCCTTCGGGTTTCAAACTGTCAAAATCCCAGAATTTCCCACAAAACAGACACAATGGGAAAGAGAAGCAGTAGTACCGCTAACCCA